AATAGAACCCCAATCGCGTATAAGTAATGCTTGATAAGCGTACTCGGAGAGTGGGAAGGGTTTGAAAATACACGTATCAGTAATGCTTGATAAGCGTACTCGGAGATTGGGAAGGATAGACGCGCTACTGTGCTGGGGGAAGTGTCTGTGCTCGCAAGTGGCTGTATGCCAAAGTGTGCTAAGCAAAGGGGGTGGTTTAGCCTGTGAGGTAGAAGGTGCTAGATCACACTGTATGGGTCAGGGGTGGAATAGACCCGGTGCAAACATGTACGCAGACTTTGGCACCGAAGTAGGACTTCCTACATTCGTGTTCACGGATGAACATGTACATGCACAGCTACGAGTGTTCACGGATGAACATGCACATGCACAGCTACGAGTATTCACAGATGAACATGTACATGCACAGCTACAAGTGTTCACGGATGGACATGTACATGCACAGCTAATAGTGTTCACGGATGAACATGTACATGCACAGCTACAAGTGTTCACGGATAAACATGTTCATGCACAGCTACAAGTGTTCACGGATGAACATGTACATGTACAGCTACGAGTATAATGATATTGCTCAAAGACAAGAGCGCGAGTGGTACGTGGCCAGTATTCTTGTGCATCTGCAATACTTCTCTGCGGCAAACACAGCTGAAACCGAATCAGCTCACACGATGTAAGTCCCTTAGAGGCGAGACAGGACGTAAGTTCGGTACACAAGGGTAGCCACGCTGCTGATAGCAGGGCACACGTGCTCACGAATACGTCCACAATCAGAAGTACTACACGCTCAAGTACAAGCTATATCAGAAGTAATATACGTTCAAGTACAAAGTATATCAGAAGTACTATACGCTCAGGGACAAACCATATCAGAAGTAATATACGCTCAAGTACAAACTATATTAGAAGTACTATACGCTCAAGTGCAAATATACCAGAAGTACTATACGCTCAAGTACAAACTATAACAGAAGTACTATACGCTCAAGTACAAACTATACCAGAAGTACTATACGCTCAAGTACAAACTATAACAGAAGTACTATATGCTCAAGTACAAGCTAAACGGAACGCTACACAACTCTGCATGCACCCACTCACCGAGGACTCTTCCCTCTGGACGTCTCATAACTCGTGGTGGACTGCCTACCCCTACTCTCTAGCGGTTCCACATTCCGATAGGTACCACGGACCAGGGGCGAGATATTGGTGTTCACAACCCCATCTTGCGGACTGGTCAATGGGACGTGTGCACGCGTTTGTGCGCCTGGGTTAGAGGTGCGTGAATGTTCTGCTGCATCGTTCTGAAGGGTGCCTAAGTCTGCGCTCGGAGGTGCATGTTGCGTATAAGCACGCCGCCTTTTCAGGGGATGTGATGGACGAGGAGAACCATTCGGGGACGATATAGCAAGATCAGACCAACCGGGAACACCCTGGTTCTGCGAGGAGAGTGAAGGAGCAGAACACATGTACTGTATAAACATAATGTTGCTATATATATA